GAAGTTGCTGGGAATTTTCAGCGGACGTTATCGAAGGCTGCGCGGCGATCTCATATTAGCGTATCAGATATGAGTGACCCCAACCACGTATGCCGCCATTTGCTGAAACTAGCCATAACACGCAGCTCAGGTAACTGCATTAAAGTTGAAGGAACAAATATAGCCGTCTAGAGTGTCGACGGAAGTTACTTTATTCCACTTCGGGTTTGCAAAACCATGGAAATCTAGCACGTCGATCAAGACTCAGTAGCAAATGCCTACTCCTACCCGCTGGAATGTTATCATCAAAAAACGATTAGATAGATGCCTCTCAGCTCCCAACAATTTTGTTACCATAAGCTCCACATTGTGGATAACGCCTAGAGCAAGTTGTACAACAGTGACTAAAATGGTATCATAATGAAAACACTAAGTGATGAGAGCGCAACCATATGTTTTATGTTCTCCACTCCTTACACGATCAAAACATCAATTATCACTGCGCCCGCAGAGGACTTCCTGAAGTGTTTACACAGCGGCGATAATTCTTTTTTCATTTCACCCTGTATGATTAATTATCAAAGTATCTGTATCATCTCACGGCAGACGTTCGATAGGATGAGCCAACGACATATTTAATTGGATCATAGTTCACCGCTAACCCTCTAAGCGGGAACGGTGTCAAGCACTTACTTTTATCCCGTGATTAAAATCATTGCGTTTACACAATCAATTGGATCAATCATTAACGACGTGATGTCCAGTGAACTGACCTAATGAGTACCGTTTTCAAAACAACGTTAGGCAATCCGATGTGGTCCATTAGTCCATCTGCCTAGGTGGCTGCAGCGTTCGTTTCGTCGAATCTCATAAGGGGTTACCCCGTGTCTAAGTACAATATACATGGTTCCCCAAGATATGAAGATCATTTCCACGTGTAGTGGATGGTTCAGTCTCTGGTTGACTTCACTGTAACTAAGCACTTTAGTACGTGACAATTTTCAGTAAATGTTTTAAATGACCCTTTTCACTCCTTTCGCGCTGATTTATCCAAATCCCTCTCCTGCTTGTAAATTTGCTCTAAATTTAAGGTTTGTTTTCTCGCACAACAAGTTATCACAACTCTATCTTAGCGTATTTATCCCGTTTTCTTGTGGACTCCAAGAAACTTATCAGCACCACGCGTGAACGCTTACTTGAGTGATGTGCATGCATGTTTTCTTTCTTTTTACGCTTTTATTGCAATTCCATGCCTACGTTATGCCTCACAACATCCGCAGTGCTAGTGTAAAATGCTGAAAATGTTCCCAGTCGGGTTCATAAAGCCTATTTTGAATTGACTATCGGAATAAGTAACCAGCTGGTGAAACACACGTAACATGTAAGAGTGACGAGTTCCACGAAAACTTCCAAACGGTTAATGGGTGCGCCGTGACAGTCATCTTGTCTACTACAACAGATCGCCTTGCATCCGATCAGCATTCATATCTTAGGTTGGCTAGTCGCGTTCTACGTGAGTACAAGCAACGTCAGATGCTCGATTTGGCAAAGTCCTCCTGAAGTGGCTACTCGAAGGCAAATTGAGAGGGAACAGAGCAGATGGCTGGTGGCCCAGGCCAATTTGATGATCATCGTCCCCCTGGATGCAGAGCAGAGGTCGACATCAGCGACAGGAAATAAAGAGGCCAGTGGTTCAATCGACTCTGCAACGGAGCCCCTGTGTTATCCCATATTTTAATTACTTTTCGCAACGTTTTCGTAATTTTCGATCCTATTCTTAGGCCTAACCATTGTAAAGCCATGGCATAGTAGCGGCGCGTTAACTCTAAGATTCAAGTTACAATTGATACCATGAACACATATACTCAATGTCATTAGGTATTTTATTTTCAAGAGAGATAGCGTTGAAGAGACAATATAAAAGTGTACAGAAGGACCAATGCATAGATGGAACAACATCGAAAACGTAGACAGCGCTGATTGGCAAGAAATTATATGAATGTGTGTGTGTGGAACACATCTTCAACAATTTCACAGTACCGCAAAAATACGCAACACACAGCGGTCCTGAAAGCGATCGGCGAAATGAGAAGGTAAGTTGAACATTGAAACCAAAATAAATAAAAGCAAAGCAAAAAACTCGGATGAGTCCCGAGAAGAAATGCAGTGGAGTCAAACAGGAATTTTATGACTCTGGACGAAGGGTAACATCATGGTGTCGGTTGCTGTGGAACTCTCCTATCGACTGGGTATCGTAACAAAATTGGGGTGGTCCCGTGTACAGGGAGGAGACTCTTTGTGTAGCGATGGATCATCGCGGAAATACTTGGGTAAGGTTGACTGTATTCACCTAAGACATATTGTCCGGAACTGGGATCGCGCGAAATTTTCATATGTAGCACACCGGTCTCTCTCCTTAAAAAAGAAGGGATTACTAGTTACGAGTGTTGTGGAGGCATTGAAGGAAATAATTAAAACACGAAGCTAAAGACAGTGTATGACTACAGTTAAGTTATAGTGCATGGAGAGGATTCCAGTTGCACGCAGTTAACGTGAAAGTTACACAGAATTGTGCTCCAAGAGTTGGAGTTGGTACCACCTAGTCATTTAGCAGGCCAATGGGTAGAAAAGAACAGCCCATACGCGGTGTACACGTAGGAGAAAACACGTACGGAAGATCCCCCAACTAATTTGGGAATTTACGAAGGAGAAAACCCCCAAAATATATGAGGTGTACTGACATCGCCGTTGTTGCTCCCACCAGAAAGACTTGATTTAAATTCCCATGAGAGAGGTACACATTTAATGAATTGAGGTGGTGACTACGTACTGAAATTGGTGCCAAAGTGCCCTAAAAATAATAGGTAGGCATGATCGGAGAAACTAGTGATCCGGAAAGAATATCCGCACGTATGGGTTGGATGAGTACGGCACAAGAAGAGAATGCCGACAGCCAATGTTCTTCAATGAGTGCCAGAGTTCCGTCACGAAAAGCTGAAAAACACCGTCGCCTCGTTTGAGTTTACGAGCCGAGCTCAGTTTACAGATTACAACATGCTGAATTACGGAATGCGGTCTATAAACGATGCGACATGCAAACAGATAGCAACCGTAGATTGCTGCCGGTGAGTTTCTCAAATTTCAAAACCCAAGCGCAAACTTCGATCCACTGAACGTTGGCAATTTAAATGCATCCTGCTCATACCCCAGAGACCCTCGTTAGCAGCCGTGCTGTGGAGATGCTCCATTAATTGAAGTATCTAATCGACTGCCTCCTACTACTGAATACGTAATCCTTCCGCAGGCGATGAACTGACATTGAACCGGTCATCGTAAAGGTCCGGTTGGGCAGTGATGCCTATACTGGTCGTCACTAAGGTAATCAATAACGTACGGTAGGTTTCACCTAGCAATGGACTCCAAGTGAGCGGTGGTAATATGTTTGTTATCTGGTCGTACTTCAGATGTAACATGTAATCATTCAAGTGGAGCAATCGCCAGCAGTCCAAACCTTGAAGTGACGCCACGATAGTTTGCATACCCTGGTGCTCCACCAAGACAAACCGGGTGGCATCTTCCAGGTACACTAAAAACTACTCAGAGCAGACAGATAAATGAGTAGAGATCAGATTAGCATGGTCTTAGCGTCCATCTCATCGGAGGCTGTGGAGCAGTCGATGACCCCATACCATCGAACTCGGTCGCAGGAAACAACCTATGTATTGTGAGCTCAGCTCGACTGCCGAAGAGCATGAGGGTCGCGAGCTGTCTCAGACGATGATAAGGGGAGTAGCACGATTGTGCATAAGTTTTAAAGTGCATCCCCCTAAGACCAGGCAACCCTTGGTCAATGGTTTCCACGGAAGCCTACATGTGGTTGCCCGTGTTCGCAGGCTAATCCAGTGACACGGTTGAAAAAAAAACGAAGCAAAAATACGTGCTGTTGGCAACGAGTGTATCCCACTGGAACTCCGCAACCATACCTCATAGACCGACATGATCCTCAATACCCTGTGAATCCGTGTATTGAATCACAAACCATAGGTAGAGAATATTAGACAGAGTGATGCATCTGCTCAACGGTGCACACAGCAAGGGCGCTAGCTTCCTTCCGCGTTTGTCCTCAAACCTCCTAACGAGCGGGAAATTGATGTTGACCAAGAAAACTAATACTATCGATGTGCTTAACTGGTATCACAATATCAAAGAAAAAGAAAACTTATTTGTTTAGTTAGGAGCCTCAAATCACGTTGGTTCCTCCAGTGTTTGCAGTCTCGGTCAGATTGTTCAATAGACAGTATGACCCTAACATCCCACGCTTTTCAAATCGATGCGTGTAGTGCCTCCGAAACAAGCATGTGACAGCTGCGCAGTAATGAATCCTTGACCACATGGTTTAGCATCTGTCGACACCGACCAACTTCTCAGTGGCTCTGGCAACAACAACTTGATGACAAAAGGTCAATACGTTGTCACTTGAAGGCACGCTACTCAAACAGACCCCGGTGAACAGTCGCGAATTGCGGCCCCCCTTCGGAATCCATAGGGGTTAATGAGCACGAAACGTTCCATTCGTTTCGGCTCAGAATTGATCAGAAATTCTGATAACTTGTCCGTATAGTGAAGAGTAGGAGAGAACATATTTGTCAATGAAACTACGTCAGAGTAGGTCGCTAATGGAAGGTCAAACAAGGTGTGGAAGGTTGTCTGGTGATCAATGTTTAACGGGTGAGTAACGGCGGTAGATCTGGTCACATACGTCCCAACCACAGTCCTTCTATGCACAGCACTGCGATTCAATACAAAGATCCATGTCGACCCACCTGAAGACCATCAAACCTAACAATGTTCATATTTCCACCAGTTAGAAATGGCGAATGTTAGTTCGCGACTGTTGTTCGGTTTTATCTAGTACCTATATGCTGATCGTGCCTCGGTGAGCGGAAGCCTTGAGCTCAGCTTCCCGATCTCATTAAAGCCCCCGAGTTTCAGTGGTTACACGCATCAACTATATCCTATTTACAATTCAGTAATGTCAAGACGAAATGACACGTTAGCCGTGACTGACAGCAGAGATGGATGAGTCGCACGTTGATAGACGTTGTCACAAATATGCTGTGGAGCCGCTCACCCACATAAGTTGAGGCATCCGAACCGGGACGGGATTCCTGAGGCGATTAGTTTGACCGGAACATGCAAACTAGCACCGATGGGCATTCAATCCCAGGATGAACATAAAACCGTGAAACGACGTTGAGGAGTGGAGAGGGCCAGTGTGATAGGAGATGTCGGTAACTCTGATTAGCCGTGTATTTCCAGCCCATTCGAAGAACGGGTCCGTGAAAGACACTATTTTACCGAGACAGTGGCTGATAATCATGTACATTTGATCCGTCTTCAGACACACCGAATAGAATGTACGGCAGATCACCTTGGAGAACAGCTTAGCATGCTTGCTGCGACGCCATCAAGAGCTGAAATATCTGCACTCGCGTAGGTAGTTCATAAAATGCTCCCTGTTTTGAAAGCGATAAGCCATGAAGTAATTGTTGAAAATAAGGACGCGATGACCGCCATTTTTGTGGGAAGACGAAGACAGGTTTTTGGCTTGCCAAGCCGCACTATTCTTCACCGGGTGTGGTACTGAAGAGGCACCTCAAAGTCAGGAGTTGAAAATAACCATCCACATTTAGACGAGTTGCAGTAAAACATGTTTTTTAAATCATGGGGACATTATTTACGTTGCAATTACCTGCAGACTTCTCATGGGCATCGTGATGAGGTGGCTAAATGATCCCCACCAAAGTGGAGTAAGAGACTGACTTCCGCCGAGGTGGAGAGTGTACCGACCAGATACCTTTTACCAAGTGTTGGGATGGTAGCATTTATACAAATGACCGACTATGATGGCCTTTCTGGAGTTGAAAATTGCCCTCAATCCTGCTGGTCGTAGTGGTTTGCGCAAATGCGCATCCCTGGAAAATCATACCGGAAAAACTCCTCTATTCCGAAGTGTACTTATCGCGAGCTAGCACGGAACAGTGACCTGAATAAATCAGAAAATAGGATTCACCTGTCCAGTTAGTCCAAATGTTGCACTTAACCAGGCAGTTGTATCACTTTTGAAGGTTAAACAAGCCCCTGAGGTTTTTCAAGGACATGGCTGCCTGCGGAAATCAGTTTGTTAAAGTAAGGATGTGCAACATCGTGGTATAGCCGATGGTACTAAATGGGTTATAACTATGGCCAGTGGTCGTCTTTGATCATCTATATCTGCGAAGTGTTGCTCATGTCTGTTAGAAACACCGTCACTTAATGTTTAGAAAAAAAGCCTCTGGAACTGTGCTAGAGTACCTGTCAAGTTTAAGTCGCATACGACGACTATGTCAAGTCCTTCATATGCCCGTTAATTGCATTAGTCAGTGTGCATTATATGTTATCGTTATATCAAGTTTGGAGAAGTCAGAGGTAGACAGTTGATGAAGTGATGAAGGTACAAAAAATTGACAGACAAACTGCTGATGCAGTTGCTGTCGGTGGCACTTCTACACCCGGTATGTTGATAACCTTCCAAGTCCAATAGTTTTACCAGCCTTTTACCCGATCTGCATAGCATACTACTTTGTGTGTTGCAGACTTATCAAACCAATGTCACCTACTATCAAGGAGGCAAGAGCCATGGAACTTGAGTTCCCGGATCATAGTGGTTAATTGAATTAGATTGCCCCGTATATGATCGTCAAATTGTGAAGACGAGTCACTGAAAACAACTGTTCACCTATGGTTTCGTGCTCCCAAATCTAAATGGGAATTCGCAAGTTGCTCAATTGAAATGTATTGTGATCAAACACCGACTGCCAAACTGGTGGTATCCAAAGCCGAACTGTAATGACCGTATCAAGTTTAATGAAGTATATTCGGAGGCTACAACGTAACATGCTAATCTCTGAAGGTTAATACGGAAATTCCTGCGCTGCCAACTGTTTTCAGATTGCAGCGCCCTCATCTAGCACGTATGGACCGGCGATGGGAATTAGGGCGCGGTAAAAGGAATAACAAACAGTTAACCGCTGATAACGACAGCCAGTTGACAAAATTATATCGTAAGTCGACGGATCTGCTATACTGGTCAGGTCCTTGCCAACATGCTGTGATGAGTAGCAGCCGGTCTTCGAAGTCTCTGGGTGCAGCACGCAGCCGATGGGGTGGCTTAAAGCAAAAGACAACAGGCATAGAAGAACCCCAGTGAAAACTTGCACCGGGATGCATCAAGAGCAGTTATATGATTGGTCGATGAAACGGAGGCCAAGCAAGGCAAAAACGAACGGAGCCTAAGTGTGCACAAACAATTTAGTGGGGTACAGCTAACCACTGTATCGGTTCAAAACAAATCTGATTCGAAGCCAATACGCACAAAGCGAAATACACAAAGATCACGGCAGAAGACAACGAATGGCGATTAAAAGCTCTAGAACATTGCAGGTCACACGTCCAATGCAACTAACCGGATGGATAGCGAGTATTCGGATTTGTTGGTCTCACTCTGTCGAACAAGGAAGCTTCCTGCGCGAGCGGATTTGAGAAGGCATTCGGCATTTGCCCTTGACAAATCGAAGTGGAACCAGCTGGAAGGAGGGGGAAGATGTAATGTGAACGGAAACAAGAAAATAACAACCAAAACGATGTATTTTACCGTCCGACTAGCAAGCAGCCGTTGCCAGTAACGAAGTGGAAGCACCAAGTGAGATTGAGAATGAAGATGAAAGACGACCGACGTTGATTGACTGAGGAATTGCAAATAAAGCACACTTATTAAGTTTGTCCAATCATGTGGGACAGTCCGAGACACGGCACACAGCACCACAATCCAATCTCAAAGAGTAATCAAGGCGCAAGTGATGAACGTGCGTGACCACGACTGCAGTTGTGCAGGATCGACGTAATCACATTCAACCTGCCTCATGGCCACTGTACAGACAATGTCAGAAAACCCCGGGGCAGAATCAAGAACAGCTTGCTAGAACTGGGCTTTTACAATTTGTTATCAGCGTGTACCCTGCTATCATACTTTGGCTAATCCGCATTGAGGTTCCGGAAGTAAATTTACTACACTGTTTCCATCAGATGTTGGACGTTGCTCAACCCAACACTCCACACCACGATCGACTGCGTGTTCATTCGCACACTTATGACAGTGACAGCCAAACGAAGAATCGATTTCCGGAAGCAACGGTTGCCAGTAGATTTCTTCACCAACTCAGTGTCAGAGTGTGCATCAAAACTGTTGAGTGGTTTCCTATCATCCGTACGCTGGCACATTTATGTACAACCTCGCGCGACACTGTCAAAGTTGAGAACATTCATAGACCACCTTGTCTTGAGGTTACAACCATGGTAAGAATGTTCCATGTGTAGTGTCACCGGTGACACCAACAGAAGTGACCGAGGTTTCACTAACAATCTGGGTGTAAATAACACAGTAAGAAGACGAACGCTGGTAGATGCGCACATTTCGTATTGTCTCATCAGTACCAAAACAATAACAAGAAATTATCTTGTACGATACAAAAGGTGTTACCAACCAATCAAATGCAGTGAGATGAACGGCGACGATGGTCCTAGGACCAGGGCAACCGGTCAACCACTGATTGTTTCCGCACACGCAGGGCAGGTCTTAGTTAGCTTATCACCACTGCCTCGGCAAACCGCAAGAAGCGTGGATTGGGGCCGCGATCAATCTGATGACGGATCGACAACACATGTCTGCCTATTAATGATGCTGGCGGCTTGCGTGCATACGGAAGGTTAGGTGACGGATGGCTGGCCACACGCCGAACCCAGTTGGGTAAGTGTTCCTTCACTCCGGAATTCAAAACCCGCTCAGTCCTGTCTATGTAACTGACTCCGCAGTCGCACTCAAACTGATAAATACAGTGTGGTTTGGCGCTGATGGGTTCATCTTCCTTTACTGAAGGTAGGGACAGTTTCCGCGTTCTATTGATCACCACCGCACCTGCAGCGCAGTAGGTTCTCTGAATGGCAGAGACTAAGCGCTTGGTTGTCCTCGTTGTGGTGGCGCTACCCTTAGATGGAAGTTCGAGGTATACTTTTTGTTAGGTGCTGTCAATACCCTTTCTTTCGGCCGTCTGATATGACTATGCTTCTGGATGAAGCGTTTGGGATACCCGTTCTTCATTAGCGTTCTAGTTATTTTCTCTATCTCCTCTGTCAGACACTCACTGGAGCAAATACGTCTGGCACGAGTGAACAAGGTGTTCACCAGTGCATGATTGTGGCTCATCAGTGTGTAAGTGATAAAGTGTAGATATTGGCCGGACCATGTTGGTTTCCGGTAGACGGAACGCTTCACAAACCAGGTATATTCTTGGCTGATGAGAATGTCAAGGTACGGCAGACAGTCATTCGTGTCGAATTCATAAGTGACTTTTAAGTTGACAATCAGCGGTTGACCTAAAGTTACTCTGATCCTAGGACCATCGCCGCCGTTTATCTCACTGCATCTGATTGGCTGGTAACACCCATTGTACGGTACAATATAATTTCTCGTTATTGTTTTGGTACTGATGAGACAATATGAAATGTGCGCATCTACCAGCATTCGTCTTCTCACTGTGTTATTCAAATTATTGAAGGGAACTAACTGTTTTAAATCTGGGTTTAACCAGCTTGGTGGAATTTCCCAGCAGACTCGGCTTAGGTTCCACTAATAAACAAAAACAGTTCCCTAAACATAAGCATGTTCTCCTATGTGATTCGGTTGACTGTACTGTGAGGACATACGCCAAATCCTACAATAAGGTTAACTACGTCGCTCTGACAAAGCTGTTAAACGGAAAAGATCGTAAAGCCTGTCAAAGTTTTATTAAACTGATTTTTCAGTTTACAGAAACAAAGAATTATCAGCTCAATGCGAGCACCTCACACACTGCATCCATCAAGAAGGAATTCAGCTCACCGCCTAGCAGTTCCACTATATCCCTTCATCAGTGCAGATCTTCCCAGCTTATTTGTTTGTGCTAGTCTTTCCAGGGCACCAACAAGGATAATGTATAACGTAAGGCCAGTTGGTCTGGATGCCATATCACCTCATTCTGAAGAAATGTACAGATGTCTATAAGTCAACGTCGGCAGAGATTTTCAACCGAATTCAAATCACTGGTACCATCCCCGACATCTAAAAAGCCTGCAGAAGAAAAGAAGTGCCCAATAATGAATAGCATAACTGTCGTCCTATTGTGAGTGTGTTCTTGAAGTTGAAGGTATTTGGAAGACTACTATTTCCCCCCCTTTTCACAATAACTAATACCAACGAGTTCAACTAGTTTAACTATCGGCTCGAGTACTCTACATGGCATGTCGTCCCGTATATTGTATATTTCACTGGATCTGACTTGGATAACAGGCGTAAAACTACTCGGCTTCTGTGTCTCGATTATACGAACGCCTTCGGGAGCTCGGATATATCGTTACCTCACAACCTTTCGTTAGAAAAATATCCTTCCCCCAGAAGCAGGTGACTATTTCGAAAATCGTACACCCTTCATGCAGCGATGGGGCAAAAGATCTTCCGTACGCCCAGTCAGCTGTGGCATTTAGAAGGGAGCCATCCTACCCCCATTCCAGTCTTCCCTACACGTCGAAGGCTTTCCTAAACCACCAAAGTTTATCTGATGTAATTATGATAGTGAAGGTATTCCAGAAAACTTCGAAGCTCCAAGGAGAATTAAGACACCGGTCCCTTGGTCAAAACGCTTCCATATTGTACTGTGGTGTTCATATTTTCTGTTCCGATAAGCTGCGATCCCTTGTAAATACATCCCCTCTAAGGTCGCGACTGACCAAAAACACCATGAAGTACGTCGATGTAACATAATGTATCCTAGTCCACAAATATTCATGAAATCTTGCAAAAAGTCGGAAGATTAGCACTCTAAAATCTAAGTCTCAACATGCACTTCATGCCCTGTGCTTCGACTGACTAGGTGCTCTCCCTCATCGGTTGGAATGCTCACTTGTCATTTGTCCTAGACCTATTTAAAAGCATTATTTTGCTCGCACGCTCATCAAAATTTAATTACCGATGCTTTGGAGTAAAAAAGCGTCCATCGTTGACTTTATCGTAAGCAAACATTACGATTCATACGCCAGCTTTTCAGTCATGACTACAAACGACCTCTCCCATTCATACCACACTGATCTTGTCAGTAACGCTATCCATTTCTTCTAAGAGGTCGAGTTCATATATTACTTTATTATACCTCGTCGTGACGTTATTCCATTTGTCATATGTGTCAAGCGTGCGAGTGGTCGACCCAATAGGATGGATGAACAATTCGCATGACCGTATGCGCACCCTTTGTTCGTTTCCCTTATCAATCTGTATCTTTTTATTGATGCTGTGTTTTATTATGCCCGCAATGATAATGTGACGTGAGGGTGTATGAAGCTTTAGATGGACTTGACTTGAACAGAGGGCAACGCTTGCCACAAATACTAGTGACGTATCATCGAATCGTTCGAATGAATAAACGATAACGCGCAAGCTGTTATTTTCGCTTAAGCGACCTAGTGATTCCAGAATACACCCATCTCTGCGAAGGCCCCTAAGAGTTCCTGTGGGATAGATGGTGATCACATCAGTTGAACAACAGTGCCAAGCTCTTCGATCATAACATGCGTGACGAGTGCTGTGGTGCTCCTCATCTCAACACAACACAGGTGAGTTGGAAAGTTAAACTTACAGCTCTCTATCCAGGCGTTCGAAAATAGCGGAAGCACTGCGGCAATGTGGTGCAGCTAGTTTTCCACTCTCATTTGAACGGAGGTCATGCGACGAACGCCCACTTTTGGTGCTTAGATGATCGCGCATCATCTTTCGTTCGCTTATCGGCGCACAATAGCCGTCCAAACAATTTACACTGGTTTTCGGGTGATGCCACTGAGCGAGTACGGTCGGCCACGATCCTCCATTGTCAATAGACTGTATAGGAACAGTATGACTCGCAATGCGTCGATAGTTCGCAGTAGAAACTTCCTGTCCGAAATGGTCCAGAACCGTCTCGTTTGTCAAAGGGTGAACATCAAATTCATCCACCTTGCGTTGACTGTGGGAGCGGGCCAAACCGGTCTTAACGCGTCGCCGACGTCCAGACACCGAGAACGCCTGAGTCGGTCTGGGTGGAATGTTCTGACAAGGAGCCCACGGCGCATGGGGAGGGGATAAAACGGACTGAGTCATGGTAGACGAATAGCCAGGGACTCTAGATTCTCCGTAGTTGCAGCTGTTTGTGAAATCAGAATTGGTGAATTGGCTCATTTCAAAAGTTGAACGATCCGAATGCCACCCAATACGGCTTAGGTCGGTGGCAAGAAGTCCAGTATTTAGCAAACGATGGGGTTTACCGGCCTGCATCTGCGGGAGTTTACCGCTGCATCCGGTTGACGCATGCAAATGTTTATTACGAACATTGGTCACTTCATCCGTGGTATGGCGTCGGCGACAGTAGGGTGCAGTGCTTAGGGGTTGTGTTCCAGAAGGAGAACGTAACGGTTTTGTATTGTCAGTTATCATGGATAAACTGTTTGACGAAGATGAGTCTGGTTTCGTAGATGTGACGCTGAAGGAGGGACCAGCGCTGAGTTGCCTGTAGAATAGTTCATCCTCGCCTAATCGGTTGGGTCGTCTTTGACCTTGACCCTGATCTGCACAAAGAAAGGACGGTTTTATGGAAGACGAACACAGTGATTACGGGAGATATGATAGCGTGAAATTGCCTGTAGATCGCGCAGAAGAAACAAGGCTACCGAAATGTGTGCACTCAAAACTTAAAATTGAATTAGGAGTGTGTTGAGTCTTGAGAACAAATAATAAGGTGAAGAGAGCAATAGGCAACACTCCCAAATTAAAGAGTGAGTGGACTTATGAGCCCCAACTGTGCGTGTATGAATGATGTTTATCCAAGAGATGGACTTACTTAGGTAGACCTATAACGTCGAACGCACAACTACGGTTGAACCGGCCATGAAGACAGTAACTTATGAATGGTTCGTTCTAAATCTAAGAGACATGAAAGATCTAAGCGGAAATGTAGCAAGCGAAATGTACAGAAACGGCAGTTACTCCCTGAATGATGACCTGTACGAAATAAATGGTAAATCAAGTTGCTTGTACTGCTGAAACCGTATCTCGCCCTCTTTCTCCATCTAAGGTTAATAGGTACAACCTATCTATCGGGTCGGGTTAGATGAAAACAAATTAGAACAGTCTTCGCACTACCTAGGGCTTACAACTGCATGTTTAAAGTAGCACCATCCTATACTGTGTATGTGCATACTGAAGGATACTTGTAATTTTGCAATCGCTTCCATTTTGTTGGTAAAAGTCAGCAATCGAGTCCGCTCACTTACTTTTCACACCACGGAGCTGGGCTCTTACTGCAAAGCGAATCACTTGACAATGAAAGTGAAATTTGCAACACTCCATAGGTGACATACTTTGTTGGAGAAGAAGCAACACTGAAACATTCAAATTAGCTCTTAAACGACACGCATAGCTTTCGATTGACTTCGATAAAATAAACAGCTTTCACCGGTTCAGTAGACCCTTCCCTATATGGGCAGAAGCGGTGTAAGAGAGGGAGGCTGCGAGGGCGGAAGCCACAGGAATATTGTCGAAAAGCCTTTTAAGTCATCGACAAACAGCACGCTGAAACTGCGTGTTGTTCCACGCGGTTGTCCAGCACTTGCAAACATGGGCAAGTGCTGGTGAAAACACTCAAAACACCGTTTTCACATAAACTCAGTGCACTACACAACGGGTAGCTGACATCAGACCACAGACGCATCACTGATCCGTTCACGCACACGTTCTAGTTGCTATGCACTTTATTGCGCTCTCGGTATAAGTGGTTTGCGCACAGAAACAGTGGTTGGCAAGCGGAAGTTCTCTGACAAAACTGAACATCTCATGCCTCTCCGCATTTCCAAAGATGATGGGATGCTTAGTGGGGTGGGATGGATACCATATGAGCCATCGTGGAAGAAAAAGAAGGTGCGAATACACACATCGAGCAGGATAAGCAGTGGGTGGCCATGGTTCGGTTTACTACCGAACAGAATGTCAGAGGGTGTAAATCGAATTATGAAAGTCAAAAACTAGTTCCTCTGTCATTTCAAAAAAGAATGGGAGGAAGATTAGCAGATCCACATAGCTGGTGAGACGGAAAGCAGGGCCCTTAAATCGGCTGTTGCCTTTTTCGTCGAACACCATATTTTACATTATCGACTGTTGATATAACAGTTTTGCAAGAATAAGCTGATGGATATTTTGTTCAATTTACTTTCCAGGTCACTGCAACCAACCTACTCTGTCCAACCTTTGAATATGAACGTGAGATATCGCGCACGAGTAAAGTGAAAAAAATTCTGAAAAATTTTTTAATGAAAGCTTTTTGTTTTGAATGGATACAAATCCCAAAGATTAAGTGTATCTTTTTGGGTCGTTTCTCGATCGAGATGTGACAGTACATCCTTCTCACTTTTTTACCTATTTGTAAACTTAGCATTTATAATGGTAATCCTTTGTTAAATTTATAGTTGATAATTTACAATGTTGAAAATGCACCCATTTGGGTACATAAAGCTCATACTGACTTGACTTGATCTTACGGACATTATTAACAAGAGCTCGCAATCATACTTACTTGGCCAGGATTAAATTTAACTCATTGCGACCGACCTAGTTAAATAGAGGTGGGAAATCGAGTGGTGTAGCCCAATAGACATCAAAACTGCTCACAGTTAGGTGCCGGTCTAGGATGGAGACTGGTGGTTTACGCGAACAAGGAGATTGAGTTAGGCATAGTTGTAACACTATCTCCGATAAATACACATAATTCTGAGTGGTGGGACCCAAATCCCTATCAGTGCGGCTTAGGTAACTGAATGCTATCATAGATAAATTGGTGTGTGCAATGCGAATTTGTCATCTTGTACATGTGGACGAAAGGTGAGAGACACATCAGCCGTTGTGACGTAATACAAATATGTATAAGAAAAAGGTAAGATACTAACGATTACAAATACAAAATAAAAACCAAAAGCAAGTAACATAATACGTGGTATCAAATAGTACAGTGACTGTGAGGATAAGCGGGAAGATGATGGACAATGAAATTCACAAAACAAACACCACTGACATCGGCTCCTGGACATGCCAACAAGTGCATCCAACCAGACGTTTATCGTCCTCTGAACCCCAGCCCGGCAGTCTAGCAGGAACAACCGAGATCAACTTCGAAGACTGGTAGCTCAGAGTGTTCAGATGGCGGTGGAACTGTTCGCTGAGCTTGGCAATTTTGTTGCAAAACGTTTCGTCACCAATCGAGGTGACATCATCAGTGCGTAGTTGAGTGGCGTGCAGCAGTGGTGCGCGCTACGCTACGCTACTGCACGCCACACAACTACGCCCTGATGATGTCACTTCGATTGGTGAGGAAACGTTTTGCAACAAAATTGCCAAGCTCAGCGAACAGCTCAAGCCCCAAAGTCTTCATTTATCTTGACCAAGTCATCGGTTGGCCTCAATGCTTCCCTTTATATCCAAATCCCGGTCGTGTAGGCAATGCATTTCGCGGGAGTCGATGTGTTGGCATGCGGACCGCGTGACCCAGCCACCGTAGCCTGGTGCATGATATAATCCTGCTGAACGGTTTACTTCCTTTTCCTGTGCCACAAACCAGACGCCGAACGCGTCCATTGCTCACAAGATGTTCTCAACAAATGTCAACCACACTGAGAAGGCAACGGTGGTCGAAAACCAATAGACACTTTACGTCTGCCGACCAGAGGAACCAGACTTCACAAGCACACAATAGGGTTGTTTCAATTAAGAAATAATTCCCGGAGAAGAAATCAGAAACAGAAAGTAGCGAACAAGCTTGTTGTCAGGGCTTCATCATCAGGGTAATACAACCACGATAAAGCAAGATAAAATAGACACAATGGGTTTAAATTCGGTGGGTCACTGAAGTAAAGTAACTATTCGATAAGTCTACGTGATTGGTCTGGTTGACGTGAAGTCAGGTGAAGTGGCGTGACTGCCATTGTTAGCCGCGTTGGTCTGGGGAAAAGGCAGGGTTAAAGTATGAACGAGTTTTTCTGTGCACATAGGTCAAGGTTATAGAGTCGAATTGCGGTCGCCTCTGCTGCCGATAGCAGGTGGCATCTGACTGCCCGTGTTTAATGTCCGGGGACACAATAGATCGGTGTGAATGCGTCATGCGAATTGATCTGATGGTCGGAGTCTACCAGGTGCGACAATACTAATAATAATGTCTCAGCTGTACGCCGTAACGGCGCTTCGCTGCCGCGCGACCACCACCAGTCGCGCGCGGGCTGAGTATGCCGCGAGGACGCCCACCCCTACGCGGATTCGAACCGGTGACCTTATGGTTGCGAAGCAAACGTGCAGACCACTCGGCCACCGGCCACCGCTGTAGAGCCAGGCTGGGCAATACTCTAGAGCCCTAATGTACAGTCGCCTGGTCGCTTTCCCAATATACCTTGCTCGACACGACCAAGAGAAATTGTAAACAGAAAGAGGTCTGCGACCGAGGTATCCCGTCTCTAAGTTGTTGGGGCACAATCGGTGCTGTTAAGCTTACGCGCAGATTAGCGGCAAAATACGTTCTCTCTGTGTTGCGACAATCATCAAGAGATCAGTCTGATCTCAATTACATCTAAGTTAAGTGCCTTCACCGTTCTATATAGACTGAGGAAGACCCGTGAAAGTCAGATTCGCGAGGAACAAGGAGGATTTAGTCGAAGTCGGAGCTGTATTGACCACTTCACATTACATCAATTGTTGGAAGCCCCCACAGTTATGGTGACTCACCGTTGTCGTGTTCCTCGATATCACACGTACCTTCCATTAAATGAATCAGTGGGCTCTTTGGGACGGTCTACTAAGGAAAGGTGCATCTAAAAATATGTAAAAATTCTCTGAATGCTTTACACGCGTAGCGCGGACAGAGTGAGGGCTTAGGCCAGACTGTCGCCACCCTTCAATATTTCCGGAGGTGTAAGACAGAGATGCCTGCTGTTACCATTCCTCTTCAACTTGGATGTTGACGAAGCCACGGAAATCGCGTTCACTAGAAATTACTTAGGAGGTTTGAAGCAGTTCCCAAGTGAACGATTTCTTGAATTAGAGTATGCTGACAACATTGCGCTCATCTGTGACAGCTCAGAAACGTACCACGCATCACTGGACAGATTAACACTAGAAGTCAGTCGTTTTGGGCTTGGCTTCGCACCCTCGAAGCTTTCTTTCAAATGAGCAGGTACCGCCACTTGCGTTGAGCATTGGTGAGGACCAGAAATTCAACGACCTAGGCAATCGTATCAGCGCCTGTGGAATCAAAGACGAGGTCAGGAAACGTAAGCGAAAGCGCCTCAAACTTTTGATAACCTTCACCATCTATGGCGTAAGCGCGACACCACTCCCTCCCTGAAGAATAGAGGGCACAATGCAGTCGTACGTTCGACTCTAGTGTGCGGTTGTGAAAACTGATCCATTAAATCGGCGTCATAAAGAGGCTACATTCGACTACCAGTGCCTTTGCAGCTTGGCTCATTTCTGGGGGAGCACCGGGTGAGCAATGAGTGTGTTCGACGTCTCATATTCGGTGCAGGAGGAATGATTAAACTGCTCAGCACGCATCAGGCTCCGATGGCTGAATCATGTGTTGCGTATGCCAGCACACCGACTGCCGTGTCGTGCGTTGTTTGCGCGATCGCGCATGCATGGAAGAAGAGGAAGGGAGACCAACCGACGATATGTACAAGAGGAATGAAAGCCCTTACTTTTAAGTTGGCATCGATTAGAACCTCTAGGCTCCCTGGTTGGAGTCCGAGAGGCGGTGAACACGTTCGGTTGGATACAATTGTTGACATGGCTAGGAGCCGACCTCAGTGGGGTTTGTGTTGTGGATTTCTTTGTCCATCTCTCTCCCGCATAGCCTCACCCCAACCACGAACTCAATTCCGAGGCATAATATAATATAATTTCTCGCGACAGTAGCCGGATGCGAAGCGATGTTTAACTGTTACTAGTGGCTCAGCTGGCGTGCCTGTGTTGTGTCTTATTTCTTCTAGCATGTACTGCGGCACAGCAGCTGAGGTGTTTCCCCACTAAAGTGTGTAATGATGATGATGAGGTAAGTAGTAGTTATCTACTACTGTCACATGCGTATCACGCATGACTACTAAGGGGTGGATGAGAATAATCTGCCAGGTTACCACCCTATCAAAGGTATTCACTTCCGATAGCAAGAGCAATGAAGAGCACAACTGCGCATCAAGTTTGAGAGGTCTAACTTCTGGTGTTCCTGATTAAAAAATGCACACAAAATACGAGTTTCACAAATGTTATGGGGAACGCACGTATCCACTAGATTCCATAAGGCCTGTCCAAATAAGCAATGCCTCCGCCTACTCATTTTTGGTACAGACCCTCGTGTCTAACTGAATTCCCATGTCGAGGCACGTTTCCGCTTACCTCGCGTTTTCATGTCATTTCACATAGTACGCCACGCAAAGGCTCATTCTTTGCCGTCACCTCAACCCATGTGTCCTTCTACGCCCTCTTACTCACGTTTGAATGCACAGTGTGCTAGTTGGATGTTCACATAAGTCGTCAGCATCGGGATAAACCGAGGTTGTGAAGTTTGTATTCGCTTTTACCAGAATGTTGAACCACACTGCCGAATACCTATTTTCTCTCTCGAATTTGTGTGTGTCCGTGAGGAGTATTCGAGTCGAGCGCGCGTATGAAACAGTTCCATCAAGACACCGTCGTTCGCTTCGGGGATAGAACTTACGGAGACCGTGTCGTTCGACCCGAATAAGTGAGCCGTTCCAACTAGGCCATTAGAGCAGCGAGAGAACCTTTTAAGGGCAATAACACTCGTTTTTGCGAAAAAAATATGCATATGCAAAATAAACGGTCATTGAAGTGTACAGCGGAGGGACACGCTTTTCAGCCAAAAGGATACCGGTTAGCCACCGCAAGCCATGTATAGCCACATGAGGTACGATGATGCGCGTGCCAAGAGAGCTTAAGCGTATAACAAATTGCAATGCAAAGGGTAGTTCTACCGAACTTAAATTGACATGATCGGCGCTCGCCTACGGAGCGTTGGAATTATCCAGTCGAGAAACAGAGGCAGCATGTCCGAATTTCAGCCAGCTAGTCTGAACTGTTGTGATTGAACTTAACAAGAGTTGTGTATTAAACATACTGAGTCGAGAAATTCAAGGCTATTAAGGCTTACTCAAATCATCAAAAGCAAGAAGCTGCTTCATAGTAGGCGCATTAGTGTCATCTGACGAACAAGCAACAGATCCTGTGATATCACTATTTATTTTACAAACGATCGGACTCCTTTGTAAATTTCGGCAAGTGGATAGATAAAGCTGTCGATACGCACCTGCGGGTTGGCTATTTGGGTGAGAAGAATCTGTGTTAAGTGCCACAGGAGGTCCATAAGCGTCCCGTTCACCTCTACATGAAACGGTCCTCGAAAACGGAAGCACTCCGTTACCCTGCTTCTTAAAGTCATCAGTCGGATGTTTCGGGTGCCCTATTGAAACGCGGCTATTGTGTGCTGAGGTATTGTCCGAGGCTAGCACCAGTTGAGGATCCTCGGCTTGACCATGGGACCGTTGTCTCCTCAGTATTTTTGAGCCATCAGATAACATGTGTTCGCTGGGACTGAGACGATCCGGTCGAATCCACTGAGGACTTGAATCATAAAAGGATGAGGACGCAGAAACGAAACCCGTCAGAAAGTTAGATTCCTCTTCTGCAATACTTTGACTGTGGATACCATTTTCCGCCAGTTCTCTAGTACCCAAACACCATGGAACAACAGTGCGTCCATCAGATGAAGTCGTTGAGATTGTGTGTTTTGGCAGACTAACGGTTTTAGTGTAGTTTAGTGGAATGGCTACAACGTCGGCATCCGGAACTGTTGTGTCGGTTGTAAGGTGATAGGTATTTGGTTTCAAAATTGAAAAAGGAGATTTCCGAGTTGGCGTATTGCAAGCACTACCCGCTTGATGTTGCGGGTACCCATTTGAAGTGTCTGGACTCCTGACTGCACTCTCTTGCGGATTCGGGCTAGATCCGGGTGTTGCAGTTGGGTCTGAAATTGTCGGAACTGAATTTGATTGAGGGTTGGAGGCCAAATCACTTGAGCAGATAGGTGTAGTGAGCGCCGCATGCTTCATATCCTGAGGAAAAAAGGAAACGTTAAACGTGATGGAACCTGCAGGCAACTTATGCAATGGAAATTACACGCTAAGATAGGGATGACTGAAGATTAAGAGCAAAGCCTGAGCAAGTGAGTATATAAAAGCCACACTCGATATCTTCGTAAGTAAGCATGGAGCAAGATGAGGATAGTTGTGCATAAGGACCGAAGGTAGAAGGCAGCAAATGAACACTCGTGGATAATAGTAAAAACAAAGATAAAGAGGTTGTGAATATAACTGTCGACACCATGAGTCAAAAGTGCGCACATAGAGTAAAGGGAGCAGAAGAGCTAGATAGCATAGTCAACGCACCAGTGCAGTTTAGGGCTAAATTTATCGGGTATGAAGTAAAAACAGAGCCGAGCAAAGAGAAATTCCATTTAGTGGACTGTTCACAGTGGGAGCAGGGGGAATTAAAAAGAGGATGCATCTGGGGGATTAGGGAACCCATGACACCAGCTATTATCCACCGGAGGGCAAATCTTCAAGGCGCCTTTTTTTAACAACTCGTCCATCACTATGGTTCGAGCCGCCTTCCTGCCTCATTTGTTTGCACCGTCAGTTTCTAAACTAACCCCTCGGTGTTTTATCACACAACGCGCACTTTTCTTCCGCTTATCCGTTTGACAAATGCACCCCCGGTTCGATGGGGTTTCCTGCACAGTGAAATTGACGGAACAGAACATAAGGTGAGCACAACAATACCGATTCGCATGTGCATCGTGCTCGGAAGTCACGTCAATCCAATCAACACCTAGCTACAGTGAGCGCTACGTAAAGCACATAGTCCACAGACACCCGTCCTCTAGCTACCTAGTCGCTGCATACACTAATGTGAAATTGTTGGGTTTTATCGATCGAATGACACGCATAAGTTGAGTGAAAAACGGAAGTCTAAGATTTCATCCCGAGGATTTTGGGTTGCCTGTTCTGCAAGGTGTGTGACTAGAAAACATAGACGAAACCTTCACATGTGAAGACCGCCGAAGACAAACTACTGGGTGTGTTCGATAAAAAAGTAAGAACTAAGAGTTCTGGACATTAAAGAGGGTACAGTGAGGACATTCATCGTGGGTCTGAAGTGTGCACACGGCAACTACAACATGGCGTGTTAACGGCACGCAAGGTTATGACAGTCAAGTACTAGTATATGCAGACGGCTCGGAAGACGATAGTGGCAAGGGCGATTGTTGCAACACAGTTCAACAACGAGCTGAGAAAGTTTAGACAGTAAAGCACTCTGTTTGCACTTTGAGTGTTTCCCGAGTTAGATGCGTCCTGGTTAAGGGAACATGTCTTTCAGGAGTTCTGTAAAAGAAAATATAAAAAGTCGCGTACACTATTGACATAACTGGTACTCTGGTAGAGCGTTCTAGCGACAGTAAATTGTGGTCCTTCACCAGAAGTAGTTAGTAGATGGATCCAAGAGAAAGTGGACTTACGATTAAAAAGTGCTCGGCATTCTGTGGCTGACAGTCTTGCTGAAGCACGGTTGTGGGGTCCCTAAGGGGAACTGCTGGGGCCAACGGAGGAGAGGGGGTAGATAAGGACGGTGAGGAAAGTTGGTGCGGTCGCTGAACCAAATGCATAAAAGGATCTAGGTTACCAGATAGGCCATCAATGCCGACGTTCTGCTGCAAACCAACTTGTGCAGGTCGATTGCAGGTTGCATGTGTTCCTGAACATTCAGCCGCATTAAGAACGAAACACTGTGCAGGAGTGGATGTGACGGGAGGGGCAGGGACATCTTGTGGCGTAGAGGCGAGTGACATTGGTACTTTGTTGACATGATAATCCCTTCGATCATTCTCCACAAGAGCGGCCGACTCAGAAGCATGACGGATCTGTGAAACGTATAACATCGCAAAAGAAAGTGAAATGGAAAATCGCTGAGCAATTTGTACACTTAAACCGGTACAACCGACGTCTTGCGTGTGCATTTAGGCCCGCTGCTTGTCAGGCCGGAAATGAATGGCGCGGAACACCGGTTGTGGGATAAGGAGAAAGTGCACCATAATATTCTCAAGCGCTAATTTTAGCAGAAAGGAAATTTCCTTCCATGGTGAAGACATGCACACACCCTATGTTAGATTGTGTTGTCTGTCCACCTAAATGAATTCAGTACAGTGGTGACTCGCGTACAGACCGGTAACAGCTGGTGGCCGAACTGACCAAAGTGCAGATAGTCAAATGTTTAATTAGCGTGTCCCCTAGAATCCATCGCACAACGACCTTGAAACCAGATTCTTAACAGACGGGCGGTGAGTCATACACCAGCTAGTAAGGATTCTCGACCACCGGTGTAAGAATATAACTCCCCATGGCACGGGTAAAAGGAAACCAAGCATGCGTCCCGGAAACAGTCGAAACTGTTGTTATTCACTCGGCCTGACGATACACCAGTTTTCAGCAAACTCATTTTGTGGCTCAGAAAAGCGAATAAAATGAAAAAACTTCCTCGTAAAATCAACAGGAGATCCGGTCGCAAAATCATAGTGAATTCACCCTTATGGAGAGTAGGGTGAACAAGTTGTTGTCAAGGTGGTTCAACTGAAACAAAAAAGTGATTGGCGCAGCATCGGTTGTGTCGGTTATGAAAGTGATACAACTTGTGGATTGTGGTACAGTAGGAGAAGTTAGTAATTCCGTTCATTAATGAGCAGTTGGCATTTGGGTGTGATTTTAGATGCAATTCGTCATAGTCCCTTCTCAGTCAGACAAGTTCCCACACGTCTAGAAAAGCACCAGACATTCTGAGTCTCAGCAGTGGTGTGCATTTCCCGGACCCGTCGGGTTCTGACCCCATGACCTCAGTTTAGATTTCTAAAAGCCCCTCACATTGTTTGCGCCATTAAAACCCAGCATCCATCAGTAATACGTGACGTTCAGCTGAATGCCTCGTGTCATCAACCGTTCCGGGGGCACCGATTGCGTAAACACAGGGGTGATCGTACTAGCAACATAACACGGGGCATAACAGCAAACCCCACGGACGAATGAGCCCACAATGATTTAATGGACACACTATGGTCAGTAAGGGATACAATTATGTATTATAGACACCCTAGAGCAACATATGATAAATATCGACATTTACTTTATATGAATAATGCCGCCTTTATCATTAAGTAAAGCACAAATTCACGTGGCGAGTTTAAGTCTTCAACTGGATGTCGCACACGGGGACAACGACCTGTAGATTTGCGGATATAACACACTGTGTCTATAGGGGTGGTTGGAGGCACCAGGTAGAAAATCTGCTCGAATAGGCATCTTAGATTTGGTGCGACCGTTTCCCCTAAAGAAGTTCAGAAGTGCAAGAGGAAGAAACAACATTTCAGTGCATTCGGGGTATTCACATTCGACCGCGCAGATAAAATGCGGTTCACAGCGCATCGCGTTTACAATAAAAATATGCAGCTGGGATTCGATAGAAACCCCCACCGGCAAACTGAGGGCGTAGCGATGGGTGAACCAGCTAGACTCATATTGGCGATTATGAATTGCGTCAGCCGATACAAAAAGCACGCCTTTACGTCCGTTATGTTGATGATACATGTAGATATTGATTATGATAGGGGCTGGAAATGCTGTGGTACCAATAGGCAGATGGCCAATCGAACGCCACCGGGCATCTCGCGGAGTGAGAAACAGACGCAGTCCAGTCCGATAGAGCGTGAGTATGTCCTCGGAAGAAGATTGATCAGCCAAGCGGCAAATGGTTGGCGCACACCCGCGTCGAGTTCTGCAAGCACAACCAGCAATCATCCATTGAATGTGCAAGTGACCAATGAGACACCAGCAGGTTCCAAAAGCACAGGCGAAGAAGCGCATACTCGTGAGGAGTTTATTGGTGCGCACATGAGCCAAAGTTTGTGGGATTGGACCGAGGGAAGAAGCGCGCGATCTGATAGACGAGTGCTCAATAGAGCCAATCATAGAGGGTGTTTTATTAATTTGGTCCGGAGCTAGGAGCGGATGCACTCAGATGCTAACGTAAACTGGTACGCTGAATTGCTAACTGTCCAATGGCGCAAACTACTTTGCCGGCAGGGGTGAGATGAAACACAGAAACGCGACATGTGTGCCTACGATCGCAGGGCACAGCGAACCGTTCGTCTGTGAGCAGTAAATGCTAGCAAACACCACAACCGCAATCGACTTGTCATGCGTGGATCGAAAGGCAAGCCAAAGGGAAGGCACGCCGCTCGGCTATGAGAACTGAACGTTAGCCAGACACGACAGGCGCAATGAATGCGTCATGCCTCGACCGCAGAGCAAGACCAAGGGAACGCACACCGTTCGGCTGTGAGAACTGGACGTAAGCCAGACGCCACGGCCGCAATGATTGTGTCATGCTTGGATCGATCGGTAGTCGGCCTTCACGTAGGTGAAATACAAGCAAAATGGGTTCCCCGCGAGGTGGTTAGTGGTTCACTGTGCTAGAAATGGAGAAGGAGCTTACATCCGTGTTGTCGATTTAGCAGCGACCGCAGTCACGTAATGTGCCGGTCCATCAGCGCGTGGTCATTGTGCAGCTGTATGGTGAGTGTAGATCCAATGCGGCGGAAACCTCAGAGCGCCATAATAGTATGCACCGGATAACACGGCTCATTAAGGTGCGGTATGTACGTAGAGTGGTGAAGGAATTTGCAGAAACTGGCGGCGTTTGCAACATCAAACAAACCGGACAGCCTCGCACCATCACGGATGAAGTAGCAGCTTGCGCGGTTGCGAAGGTGGTATGCAGTAACAGCCATCTCAGACTTCGGCAGTTCACACAATATTGTGAGACCGCACAGTATGCTGTGCATAGGATATTGAAGGACAAAAAATTCCGACGGTACAGTGCTCTGCAGTCGCAAGTGTTGAACACATTCGATTCGCGGAAGCGCTAGGAATTGGCCGATTTGTTCGTAAGCAGTCTGAATGTGCATTCCAATTTTTTCATCGATGAGGCAGTTTTCCGCCTACATGGCCAAGATATGCAATATGTTTGGGCAACAACAAACCCACGGCAATGTAGCGCTTCAGGTGTGCAACATAGCGCGAAGCTCATGACCTGGACTGGGTTGACTGGTCGAAAAATTATTGGGCCTTTTTTTTCTTTTCCATGAGTGTGTCCGGTAGGTTGCTGTTTAAAAATACAAATGTCTGACATTTCTTAGCATCCTCGTACATGGAAACGTTGCAGAGCGGCGTCATTCCGCAGCTGCAGTCGGAAGGGTTAACGAAACACGTTTGGTGGCAGCAGGATGACGCACCTGCACATTCGGTGCAATCGGTTCGTGCGTACCTGAAGCAGACATTCTGCGGCCGTTGGATCGGTCGCGAAAGACCGATAGAATGACCTGACCGATCATCGGATTTGAATCCCATGGACATTTCCAATGAGGATACTTGAAGCGCAGAGTTTATAGAACGAAACCCAACAATGTGGTTGAACTGAAAGAGAACATTGCATTTGTACACACATATATGCAATGTTCTCTTTCAGTTCATCCACGTTGTTGGGTTTCCTTCTATAAACTCTGCGCTTCAAGAATCCCCATTGGAAAAGTCCATGAGATTCAAATCCGATGGTCGAGCAGGTCATTCTATCGGTCTTCCGCGACCGATCCAACGGCCGCAGAATGTCTGCTTCAGGTACGCACGAACTGATATATATATATATATATATATATATATATATATATATATATATATATATATTAGCAGGAGAGACTATGGTGCCCTCAGGCTGGTGGCGGCTAGATCCTGACAGATCATCTACTCACTGCTACTTCTGTTGTGCCATGGGCTCATGTCCTGGACGCCTCCTCGTGGCGACCGCTGGGTGGGAGTTGGGTATCACCCTTCTCCCTGCTAAGATCTAGGACACCAATCCGCATGAGTCAGTGAATTGGCCATGTGTTAGACCCGCTGCCTTCCAGGTGTACATTTAATCGAAGGATTTGGCTGAGAACCCGAGTCGTTCTCCAGTAAGGACTGGGCGCCCTGCCAGTATCCTAGTCCATCCTCTTCGGAGGTTAGGAAGTGGTCGATGGCCCACTTCCCGTAAAATCTAGCCATGGGAGACAACAGGTCTACGGGTTATAATCTCACAGTTCGATTGGCATAGAGCACGAGCGCCACGCACTGTCTCTGACGGTGGGAGGGCACCTCCGGGTGTTTAGTGCTTTGCTACCGCCCATCTCAAGCCCGGCAGCCCCTGGTCAAATTGGTGCAAACACGCCAAAACCCACATGCGCCTGCCGTGGTCGCAAGTGTATCCTACTACGGTTGCAAAACATATATGAATCGTTCCAGTACCTCAAACGCTGCGTGTGACGGCGGTCAAGCAGATTCCAATCTGTCTCTGCAATCACATTCCCGAGCTGGATCTGCTCCCCACTGCCTTGTGGGTCAGGCTATTGAGCCAAAGCATTCTAGTGGAGTCCCTCAAGCAAGCCTCCGAAACAATTCCGCCACTTCGCGTGCGATTGCCCACCAATGCAATCGTATGCCTGCGCGCAAAGCACTCAGCATCGTGTGCTGGAAAATGCACACACTGCTGGACCGGAACTCCAGTGAGCGCCCTGAGCGACGCACTGCACCCGTCGCGATGGAACTGGCGCGTTACCACATCGAGCTTGCGGCGCTCAGTGAGACCCTGCTCGCTGAGCAAGGTAAGTTGTATGAAGCAAGTGCTAGCTACACATTCTACTGGGTGCGCAACGTCGCTTCTGCACCACGTGATCATAGGGTCGGATTTGCAATATCCGATCGCCTCCATGGTCAGCTCGTTGGTGAACCAACGGGCATCAGCGCGCGACTGCCCGTCTACGACTCCGAAGAGGTAAGT